AAAAGATTATGATTCTTTTTCAAAAAAGATTTTTTAAATTGTTTAACAAAAGCAGCTGTAATCTTGGAATCTATCTCATAATCTATATCAGAATCCTCTTCAACTCTATGAGTACTACAAAAACAATAGTATCTTTTTGTTTCTTTTTGAAATTCTTGTGTGCCTCATAAGTTTGGAGATTTCCAACCAACTGATCCAGCTTGAGGTTGTCAACATCTTGAGCCTCCTCAATAGCCGTGACTTTTGGTTGGAACCGATCGGGCAAGTATCTCAAAATTTTTCCCATAACTTTGGATTCTGGAATTTTTTCACCTAAATTGAAGATGGAATTTACAATGTCACTCAACTTCGCATAAAATTCATCAAATGTCTCACTATCTTTCATTGAAAGGTTTTCGAAACTAGATGTGAGCCTTTGAAGTTTTGAATGTTTCACAGAAGGAGTGCCCTCATGAACAGTTTGTAAGATATCCCAAGCCTCTTTTGCGACTTCATAATTACAAATACGACTAAATTCTTCAAGTATGACAGCGCAAAAGAGAGAATTGATGGCTTTACTATTCCAGCTACTATTTTGGTAATCAATTGTGTCCTACTTATCAATTGGTTTGGGGATTGTAATTCCATCAACAGTAATTGTTGGTTCAGTCCACCCATTCATGATGGATTGCCAAACTTTTTCATTAATAGATTTTAAAAAAGATCTCATCCGAGCTTTCCAAAAAGAATAATTGGATCCGTCAAGTAGGAGTGGTCGAACCATAGAATTTCCCTCACGAATTGTATCCATTATCACAAATCAAACAAGATCTCGTTCTAAAAGAAATATATTTTAAAAAAAAAAATAGAACGACCTGCTCTGATACCAATTGAAAAATCTAGAAATCCTCTAGATATTGATTTGTGATTATGTATCAATTTTAAGCAGTATATAACAATCACAATCAAACAATCAAGACAAATCAACACAACGATTTTAACGTGGAAAAAACCACAATTGGACACCTCCAACTGTGATTAAAAAACCACGGGCAACAGCCACAAAACAATCCACTAAGAAGATTTAAAGTAATTACACAGGTATACTCTCAATTACCTAGCGAATCCACGCCTAATTGAACCAACCTCTATGTGCCTCTTCCAACCCGTCTTCATCTCAGAATTGTCTTTACGATGAGCCACCCCGGAATCCACCAAAGCTTCAGGCTCAAATTCTTCAGAATCTACCGAAGAACAACTCTCTCTTTTGCAGAACAAGCAAGACCTTTGACGTATACTCTTTAAAACATGAGTTGAATACTCAATCAAAACATCAAAGAAAACTCACAAAGTATCCTCAGATATAAACCTTAAGAACCAAAAAGAAGATCTGGAGGAATTAAATAGTTTTGGGAGAAAACCAACTATTTATAGAAAATCCAAAAGTAATCATAGTTTTGGAAGAAATCCAATTACTTTTGGATATCATAGTTTTGGAAGAAAATCAACTTCTTAAAGAAATCTTTGTCAAACGGGATTGCCAATAATAAAACCTAACAATTTTATCTCAATACACACCACCAATTTTCATATAATACCATATTACCTTATCTCCTCCAACAAATCCTAACCCTATCCCTAACCCTTAGCCATCGTCCACCGTTGGCCGTCGGCAGCCACTCTCTTCCCCTCTTTGTTTAAACACTTCCATCATCTCTTGGTGCTTTATACCCAGCTCATTCGATCACTACCTTTTACTTTCGTTGCTTTACTGTCATCGTAGCATTTGCCGCCGTTGCCCCACCACCATCACCATTGTTGTTCCACCACCATGGTAACCTCCTACCGTCGCGATGCACAATTGCCACAGCTTATACCTATTACGATTACATTATTGTTGTGCCACATGTATCTCTTTTCAAACACATCTCTTTCTCTATGGTTGCATGTGATTTGTAATGCCCCAACTACTTGCTGGCCCAAGTAACTTGTGGGTTGACCAACAATACCCAAAAGTTGAAGTCCAAGTTACTTAGTAGCAAGCTAGTGGTACTTTATATGCCAAAGATCACCTATGCAAACTTCCAATGTGGGACATGGTGTTACATGATTGGTCACTAACTAGAGGTGAGTTGTGATGGTAGTGGGTTATTACGGTTTGGAGACGCGATGGTGGTGGGTCTACGAGAATGGTGGTAATGTAGTGATGGGTCTAGAAAGGTAGCAGCGACAACAACTGGGCTAAGGAAGAGAAGACTGGTGGTTGGTGTTGATGATGGTGGTGTTTGATGTGGTGTAGAATGAATTTAGAGTTTTGTCCTAAAAGGTAATTTTATAGAGACATAATGAGAATAAAAAAATATGAGATAATGGTGTGAGCTGAGAGTAATTGTAGTGTGTAAATAGAATTACCCTTAATTGATTTATTAATATAAAAAGAAGACAAGTAAAGAGGAGAAGAAAAAGACAATTTTGAATAAAGTTTTCAAAATTTGCTCATTAAACATGTTTTTTGATTTTTTAATCCAAATGTTAATTTAAAAACCAAACTAGACACTACGGGCCTGTTTGGTAACGTTTACGTTTTCAGTTTATATTTACAAAATTTTTATAAACTGATTTTTGTTTATTTTTAGAAAAACGTAAACTATAAACGCGTTTGGTTTAGACAAAATGCTTAAAAAAATTTAAAAATTTAAAAAAGAGTGAGAAATGGCAAGTGGTGGCGTGTGGTGGGTAGAGATGAGTGGCGGCGGCGGAAGACGGTGATGGAAAATGATGGTGGGTGGTGGTGGTAGAAGATGGTGGTGGAAAATGGTAGGAAGTGGATGGTGGTGGTGGTGGGTGGGGCGAGTGGTGGGTGGTGGTGGTGGCAGGTGGGTGGCGGATGGCGGGTGGTGGTGGTGGGTAGGTGGGTGACGGTGGCGGGTGGTAGGTGGTAACGAGTGTGTGGTGGTGGGTGGTGGGTGATGGTGGGTGGGGTAGGTGGGTGGCGGGTGGTGGGTAGTGGTGGCGAGTGGGTGAGTGGTGGATGGTGGTGGCAGGTGGGTGGTGGAGTGTTGGTGGCGGGCGGTGGATGGTAGTGCGGGTGGGTGTGCAGGTGGGTGGTAGTGGCGAGTAGGTGTTAGTGAGTGGTGGTGTGGTAGGTGGGCAGTGTGGACGGGTGGTGGGTGGTAGTGGCGGTGGTGACAAGTGGCTTGTAGTGGGCGGTGGTGGCAGGTGGGTGGTGAGTGCTGGTGGCGGGTAGGTAGCAGGTGTAGTGGCGGGCGGTGGATGTAGTGGCTGGTAGTTGGTGGTGGGTGGCGAGGGGTAGGTGGTGGTGGTTGGCGAGTCGGTGGTGGTGGGTGATGGTGAGGTGGGTGGTGGGTGGTGGGTGGTGGTGGCAGAAGACGGTGGTGGAAAATGGTGGCAAGTGGTGGCTAGTGTTGGGTGGTAAAAAAAAAAAAACTCAAAACTCAAAACGTAAACTCATTTTTTGTGTTTTTATTTTTTGGCAAAATTTATAAACTGAAACCATTGATTTATAAATAAAAAATTTACCAAATAAATTTTTATTTGAGTTTTTAAATTTTTTGTAAATATAAACTTAAAACTGAAAACGTAAGTATTACCAAACGGCACCTACCTAGGTCATTTCATTAAAAAAATTTATAATCAATTTTTGTTTTCCGTATTATTTATTTATAGTAAAAAATGTTAAATTTTAAATTTTAATTTTATTTTTTAAATGTATATCACCTAAATATACATAAAAAATATAATATGTATGAAAAATATATTTACAAAATTCATCAAATACAAAAAAATAGAAAAAATGCTAGTACATTTTTTCATATTTGTGTGTATTTATTGAATTTTGTTAAATATTTTTCTTTTAAAATATTTCTAAAGGAAAAAAACTTACTTAAAAATATTAAATAAATTCATAAAAAATAAAAAAACTTAATTTTCAAAAAATTAATTAAAATCAAACAAGGTGAGTAAGACCATCTTCAATGGTTCATCAATCCTGTCATCAAATTTAAATTTGATGAAAAAACACTTATTTTCTTGCTTCAATAGTTTCATTATATTAGTATCAAATCGAAGATATTAAAGCCTTGTTTGGCATCTACTATATAATTCATCTTTTTATCTTTTTTCAATCACATCACCTCTCTACTTTTCTGCACATCTTTTCGTAAAAAGACAAAAAGTGTACTTTTTTAGGACACCCCAAACCAACCCTAAAAATCTCTCACAAAATTGAGGACAGCTAGAGCTTTTGGCTCAATTTGGGAAGAAAGTTATAAGTGGCCAAAACGTAAAAAGTGACTTTTTTTTGCCATAAATTGATTTGGGATGTTGGTTATAAGCCAAAAGAAAAATTACGAAATTGCCCTCTATAGATGGAAAATGAAAGGGTAAAAATGTGTAATTTTTCAATTGGCTAGGGATACTTTGGTCATTTCATTATGATTTGACATTATAAACAAAATATTAATAAAAAAAGTCAAAAGTCACTTTTTATAAACTTCCCAAATCATTTGTCTAAAAAAGTCAAAAGTTTAGTTAAAAGCCAAAAAGTTACTTTTTACCATCTTCCCAAAATAAGCCTTTATCAAATCACTATTTATAGTTGTTGAATTTTCACCGTAAGATGTCTTTCGGATGACCACCTTTAGGCAAAAATTTATGAAAAAAATACACTGATCGATCTATGGATCGGACATTTGCCTGATTAACTAGTGTTTTGATGAAAGTTTCAAATCTTCTGTTAAAATATTTCATATCAAATGGAATTTTTATTCAAATTTAATAATAAAAAAGATGTACCATTGAAGATGCTCTAAACCAAACATTTTTGCTCATTTAAAAAAATAAAAAATTCCGATAATTATAAATAAATAAATAAATAAAACAAAGGCTTCACTTTTTCCCCCCAAAAAGAAACCCAATTCAAATTCACCCCCCTCTGATCCTCAATCGCTTCTGTCTGGCTTCCTTGTCTGATCAAACCCTACTCTCTCTCCTCTCTCTCTGCCAACAATGAAGCACTTGACGCAACCAAGAAACGCGATCTTCAGAGAACACCATCCATCTTCTGAGACAGCATCTTCCCCAAACCCTAGTTCTGTGAAGCAGAGATCTTCCTCCTCCTCCTCCTCTCGCAAACGTAAATCATCCAAAGAGAATGCTCCGCCGTCGGATCCAAACGCAATGCTGGATTTTCCTCCGGTCGCCGGAAAACCCTCGGCGGCGGGGGGGAAGATCAGAAGTCCGCTGCCGCCGAGGCCGCCCCCTTCAAACCCTCTGAAGCGAAAGTTCAATATCGATTCAATCCCTGAGAATGGCCTTCCTGTCTCTTCTGATTCTGGAGTAAAGGTAGCAGTGTTCATCTAAAACCCTAATTGTCTTTTGAGAATGAAAAACCCTAATTCAAAAATTTGTTCTTTTCAATTCCAGCATTTGACATTAATTACATCGTGGTGATTGTTGCAATAATTAGGTTATAGTGCGAATGAGGCCACCCAATAAGGATGAGGAAGAAGAAGAGTTGATAGTTCAGAAAATTGCTAGTGATTCTTTGTCTATACTTGGACAGACATTTACATTTGACTCTGTTGCTGAGACAGAGTCAACACAGGTAAGATCTAATTTATTGATGTTTTTTCATTGGGTTAGTGAATACATGTTCAATTATGTCAATAAAATACTTGCTGTACTTTTTCAGCTAGATATTTTCCAGCTGGTTGGAGCTCCTCTTGTTGAAAATTGCCTTGCTGGGTTTAACAGCTCTGTCTTTGCATATGGACAGGTAACTTCTTCTCGTTCCACGATCTTTAAACGTATAAGACTAATACATAAGCGTGTATGCACACACCCAAGTATAATACGTTGTTACCAGCCATTGACAAAAATGCTATTTATATTTATTAAATTAATTAAAGTTGATTTGATTTAGACTGGGAGCGGAAAGACGTATACGATGTGGGGACCGGCGAACGCCTTGTTGGAAGAAAATCTATCAAGCGATCAACAAGGCTTAACTCCCCGTGTTTTTGAGCGACTTTTTGCCCGCATAAATGAGGTGTGATTATATTCTTTTCATTATCTAACTTGTTGATGGTAACATTCTCATAATTTTTGTGCTTTTTTTTTAACCTTTTTGTTTTTAATCATAGGAGCAAATTAAGCATGCTGACAAGCAACTCATGTATCAATGCCGCTGTTCTTTTCTTGAGGTTAAGTAATTGAATTTATTACTTGACATAAATATGAACATTTTAGGTTAATTTCTAGATTTACTTAATCCTTTAAAATTGGTATGTACAGATTTACAATGAACAAATCACTGATTTGTTGGATCCAAGCCAAAGAAACCTCCAGGTAAAGTTGTTATGTCAATTATGTTGTTTGAATTTTTGTGACATGGTTATGTGGTTTGCTTAAATTTTTTGTGTGGTTTTTCTTTCTAGATAAGAGAAGATGTCAACTCTGGTGTCTATGTTGAGAATTTGACAGAGGAATGTGTATCTACAATGAAAGATGTCACGCAGCTTTTAATGAAGGTTAGCATAGTCATTCTGCTTATGTTGCATCATCTACAGCATCTCCTAGAGAGAATCATCTGAACTGTAGAGTTGTAATGGATCTCTTTGCTACTGTGGATCATGGTTGGTGGGTATACGTAACACTTACCAAAAGTTAAATGTTGGAATTACCTCTATTCTTTGTCTAATATTTGCACCTGCTTTGATCTGATTCACGTGATTTGCCATTGGATTAGATTCAGATATAGTGACTGTATTTGTATTTACTTTTTTATTTGATGCTTTGCATTTCATAAATTTTCTAGCTTTGGAATGGATGATATGGTAGACATTGTGTACATGATTGTTGGATAAATGATGCAGGGATTGTCAAACAGGAGGACAGGTGCAACAAGTATAAATGCTGAGAGTTCCCGTTCGCACAGTGTATTTACTTGTGCTGTTAAGTCACGATGTAAGGTAATACGTGTTCTTAAATTGTTAAGATTTTGTGAATCCTTTCCCTTTCTAATACGCATTCTAAAATTATGAAAATTTTCAATCTTCTAGAGTGTGGCAGATGGTTTAAACTGCTTTAAAACAAGCAGAATAAACCTTGTTGATCTCGCTGGTTCAGAAAGACAGAAACAGACCGGTGCAGCTGGTGAACGCTTAAAGGAAGCGGGGAATATAAATCGGTCTCTTTCACAGCTTGGGTATGTTTTTGCATATTCTTTGTAGTATTTGGTTGTGTTTAATGTTAAAAAAGAAGTGCTGTGGCTGCTGCCTGTCATGTAACATATGAAGGTTTTATTCTGAACTTGTGTCAAGATACAGTCATTTTCCCCATGCTTATTGCTGTTATCTATGTGTTTTGCAGGAACTTGATAAACATTCTTGCAGAAGTTTCCCAATCTGGGAAGCAAAGGCATATTCCCTACAGAGATTCCAGGTTGACATTTTTATTGCAGGAATCTCTTGGTGGAAATGCAAAACTAGCAATGGTCTGTGCCATTTCTCCTGTGCAAAGGTGAAATTAGCATGTATTAGCATGTCTTTGAATTTTTAATTCCTCTGGTGCATGCAAAATTGACTTGAGGTAGTAATGCAGCTGTAAGAGTGAGACTTTAAGCACACTGAGATTTGCCCAGCGTGCAAAGGCTATCAAGAACAGGGCAGTTGTTAATGAAGTAATGCAGGATGATGTGAATTTCTTGCGTGAAGTGATACGGCAATTGAAGGTATAAATATATATATTTTGTTTGATTTTGCATTTTTAGAAGTAAATCATATCTGTTACCACTTACACCAAAGTCCAAACATATGAGAGCTTACTAACTTTATATTTTCCTCAGGATGAACTGCTTCGGATGAAGGCAAATGGAAACCAAGCCGACCCTTATGGAGGTTATTCAACAGGGTGGAATGCCCGTAGAAGCTTGAATCTCCTGAAATTTAGCCTCAATCGTCCAATGACTTTACCTCATGTTGATGATGACAGTGATGAAGAAATGGAAATTGTTGAGGAGGCTGATCAAGTTGGTGTTCAATCAACAAATGCCATGCATGTGGGCAATCTAGGAACTTCTGGGAACCCTCAGCCAAACACATCTGAGAGTGCATGCGATGAAAATGAAGGCTGTAAGGATACAGATGTCATTATGGAAGAAGAAGTATCTGAACAAGTTGACAAGCATGAAATCATCACTGTTGATCACGGAGAGCCTTTTATGAGCACTCTAGATTTTTCCAAAGATGATGTAGTAAACCATCGTAACCACACTGAAGGAAATGACGAAGATAAGTTGATCCATTCACTGGATAATGCACTTGATAAAGAAGATTATCCTGGGAATCCCAGTCAGGAGTGTCTCACCTCCTCCACCAGTAATTTCCTGAATGAAAAATCACCAAGCAAGCTAGCAGGGGGTAGTCCCTTGCTTATACTTTCGGAGTCAATGTGCCAGGATTCTGCAAATAATGAAGTAAAAGAGATGTCTAAAAGTCCCCCTAAGGGCTCAGGGGATGACGCTCACTCTAACCTTAGCCTGGTTCCATGTGAAGTATCACCAGTTCTTAGATCTCCCACACCGAGTGTTTCACCAACAGTAAATCACAGCAGGAAAAGTCTTAGGACTTCATCCATGCTAACTCCTTCCCAGAAAGATCTCAGGGATGAAAATAAGTTAGGCTTGGAGGTTGTACGCATGTCATTGCCAAGTAGAAGTTGTTTTCCACCAACTGAATATTTGGCTGCCAGTCTTCATCGTGGTCTTGAAATTATTGATAGTCATCGCCAGAGTTCTGTTTTGAGGCGGTCATCATTCAGGTTTTCATATAAACCTGATGATATCAAGCCAATTTTGCCAATCAGCAAAGTTGATGTGGGCATACAAACTCTTCCTGAAGATAATGAAGGGGATTCGTTGGTGTTGTGTGGTAAATGTAGGAGTGGAAATTCTCAGCAAGAGCTCAAAGATGCAAATGACACTTCGAATTTGCAGTTAGTACCTGTTGATGGGTTACAATCAGCTGATAAATCCAAGAAATTAGTTCCTAAAGTATGTCCCAGAGACATCATCAGGAATGATGGCACTTAACTATTGCTGTGAACTGTTAGTATGCATGATTGTTTGACATTTGTATAATCCTGCAGGCAGTAGAAAAGGTCTTGGCCGGAGCTATTCGGAGAGAGATGGCATTAGAAGAATACTGTGCAAAGCAAACATCTGAAATTATGCAACTTAATCGTTTGGTAGGTTTTATTCAGGTTAGGAAGCAGTCAACTAAAACTGTGGCATATTTTCTTTCTATTTGATCTTTTCTGATGTTTCAGGTTCAACAGTACAAGCATGAGAGGGAATGCAATGCAATTATTGGGCGAACACGGGATGATAAAATTGTTTGCCTTGAGAGCCTGATGGATGGCATTTTACCTACTGAGGAGTTCATGGAAGATGAATTAGTATCACTTACAAATGAGCATAACGTATGTATTTGATTTTTTCTGATGAATTAATATCTTTGGTAATCTTTATTTTGTCTGTGCTTCATTTGTATTCCATCTTGATTTTACAGCTTCTAAAGGAAAAATATGAAAACCATCCAGAAGTTTTGAGGACAAAAATCGAGTTAAAAAGAGTTCAAGATGAGCTGGAACGATATAGAAACTTCTTTGATATGGGTGAGAGGGATGTGTTGTTGGAAGAGATTCAAGATTTAAGGAGCCAACTGCATTATTATATTGACTCTTCACCCAAGTCTGCTCGTAAACGAAGTCCTCTTCTACAGTTAACCTATTCATGTGAGCCTAGTGTGGCTCCCCCTTTGTGCACAATTCCAGAGTCAACTGAGGATAGTGCTGAACATAAACTTGTACAGGAGAGAATTCGTTGGACTGAAGCAGAGAGCAATTGGATTTCTCTTGCAGAAGATTTGAAGATTGAACTTGAAGGTAGCCGTTCTCTTGCTGAGAAGCTTAAGCATGAATTAGATTTGGAGAAGAAATGCTCAGAAGAGCTGAAGGAAGCAATGCAGATGGCCATGGAGGGCCATGCACGCATGCTCGAACAGTATGTAGATCTCGAGGAGAAACATATTCACTTGCTTGCAAGGCATAGGAAGATTCAAGATGGAATAGATGATGTCAAGAAAGCAGCTGCCAAAGCTGGAGTGAGGGGTGCTGAATCTAAGTTCATAAATGCCCTTGCTGCAGAAATCTCAGCACTAAAAGTGGAAAGAGAAAAAGAGAGGCGGTATTTCAGAGATGAGAAAAAAGGTTTGCAGAACCAACTGAGGGATACTGCTGAAGCCGTGCAGGCTGCAGGTGAACTACTTGTGCGGCTTAAAGAAGCAGAAGAAGCTATTGCTGCTGCCCAGGTGAGTTTGCAATTGGCCGTATCTATTGCTGTAACTTCTTCTCTGTTAATATTAGTTGTTTTTTGTTATTGGGAACCGAAGATTACTATCTTCTGTGTTCTTCTCCATGCATTCATTTCCTTTGGTCATGCATATTCTTTGCGCTTCCTTGCATTTCTATCTTATGTCCATGTGGTGTGCCGCTTTTTTCCTTTTTTTTCTTTTTCTTTCTTTTTCTTTCTGTAGTTTCTTTGGATTATTTGATATTCCATTGCAATGAGATAGTAAAGGGAATATTTGGATGGTTTGGAGGATGATTAAATCTATGTAGAAATCATCTCCTTTTCTCTTTGTTCGGTGGTTTGTTTTGTTTACTGCACAACGTGTTGCTAATGACCTGCCAATGATAACAATCACTGGCCTGGTCCAACAATGGTTGGTTATTTTTGGGCCGAGGGGATTGAACACATGGGATCTCTGGTGGCCCAACATTGCTATTGATATGTGCCTGTGTAAATTCTGACTAATGTGATATGAAGCATTTCCTTTGGTCTACATAGTTTTTTTGGTAAGAATTTTAGATGTTTACATATAGGCTCAACACATATCTAACAAGGCTACACAAAACACACTTGTCACTCCCTGTTGAGACTATAAATATAATAAAGAATAAAGTTGCCATCCGCTCTAACAGCTTAGCTTTTAAATGAGTTTTATTGGTCAACAATTTAACACTCGCAAAGGCTAAAAACAAATCTCTCACATCCTGAGAGAAAAAGGACCCTAGCTCTAGAAAGAAATCTCTTACACCCCAAGAGAATAGGCAATAGTAAAATGCAAAGCGCAAATCCTCTCACTGCCTTCCCCGTCTTCTGCCTTGCTGAGGAATACTTGGCGCATTTTTTGTTGTCGCGAGACACAACTTCTTAGGTTTCTTCAAAAGATTGACAATATCTATCCCCCGAGCAAGCTTGTGATTATGGGTGTTTTCGTCTTGAACTAAATGTTTGTTACAACTTACATGACAATTTTTTCAAGTAAAAAAAATCTTGTTTTAAGATGTTTTAACCTATCTAGTTTCAAATTGCACTAGCTGATTACAAAATTACTAACGGGTGGATTATAAAAGGATGGAGTTGCTTGTGAATTTCTTGAATGAAAATCTTCAGGGGAAACGTCAGTTGACATCATGAGCCAGTGGCAGCATAACTCTAATGTTGAAAAACTCTAATAACCTTCTTATGTCTTCTTTTCTCTTCACAACCAGCCCCAAAACTGGACCATCACATTCTAATATATTCATTTTACCATTCTCTTAATATGCTAATGCTGACCAAGGAATAAAATTTCATTTTTTTTTCCCATTGAAACGTTTCCATTTTCTAGGAAACCTAAATGAAACATTAGTGGAATACTGAAATTCCAATGTGTCCACTGAAACATACCAAACACACCGAAACACTATGAAACATCCTGAAACAATAAGTCGTTTCGACACCAATTAGGAATATCCAAGAATGATCTTTTCTAAAAGAAAATATTTGAGAATGTATTAACATTTATATAGGTTTTAGTTTTTGATTCCAAACATTTTTCATACGTTTCCCAATTCCTTTTGCCGTTTCCCTTATGTTTCCGTAACATTTTTGTTTCTAAGCTAACCAATACAACATAGCAAAACAAAATTTTGGATGATGTATATATATATATATTTTTGATACTCAGAACACCCTAAGATAGGATCTTTAAAATTCACCCTTACAAGTCAAATTGGGAGAAGCTAGCCGATCTACCTAAATTGTCGTACTTCTACTTAAGTAGTAGGGGATTCAAACCCTGGTTAATAAGGAGAGTAGCATGCTCCCTTACTAACTAGGATGACCTCTTGGTGGTATGTATATATATCAATACACACATACACATTCTGATGTTTCATTGCAATTAATTGAACTACACATATCACAATATCGTCTTGTATTTTGATGTTTTAGTGTTCCTCCCATGGTCACATTCAAATCCTTGGAGTCGTTACAATTTACCTAATTTGCTGAAGCTTGAAATTTCGGAACTTGCATAGTACTCAGAAGTTGCTGCAAAAGTTGTTGCTCTATTGAAACGTGTGATATTGGCTATAGACTTTATTTGCCATTTTTTGTTTTTCTAAATTTTTAAAAAATGTCCAAATAATAAAGAAATTAATAAATATTTTGTAACTGATTGTTTAATTAATTTCTAAATTCGCAGAAGCGGGCCATAGAGGCAGAGCAGGAGACTAAAAAGGCTTACAAACAGATCGATAAATTGAAGAAAAAACATGAAAAAGAGATCAGTTCTTTAAATCAACTACTTGCAGAGTCTCGGTTGCCTACGGAAGCAACAAGACCGGCTTATGATGACTCTGATGTGGTGAAATATGATGCAGGAGAGTCTGATGAGCGATGGAGAGCGGAGTTTGAGCCATTCTATAACGTTGAAGAAGGTGGGTTATCAAAACTTGCAGAACCACCCTCTTCTTGGTTCTCGGGGTATGATCGATGCAACATATAGACGAGATACATCTAATGGCGTTACTAGTGTATGTATTGGCTAACACTTATGATTATTCATAATTCATATTAATTGTTCTGACCAATTGTGAGGACCAATGAATTGGTTCCTCTGTGTGCGCTATGTATTCATTTTGGATTCTTGAATCATAAAAGATGAATGAATCAATGATTGTATTCTTCTATCAAACCCAATTTCTCAAAATACCTATGACTGCTGATTTTTCAGTCTCACTGAAGCTTTGTGTAACACACACTCAACAGAACACCACAAAACACAACAAAACAAAAGCATATTTTCAACTATTTGGTCACATGCTTTTGCCCGCGTTCTGCTCTACCCAAATCCACAATTTCAGCTACGCCACACATTTTTGCTGCTTTCTTTTCTTTATTTTATTTTTTTGTTTTTTGGTGCTGCTTTCTGTGCTAGAATATGAATGACATTGTAAGAAAGCAAGTAAAAATTTCTTAACAATAATATTCTACAAGGAAAATGCTCCGTAGCTCGAGAAAGTGAGGCTCGAATGGCGCGAATGATACGGAAAATATTATCTTACCGGTAAGAGAATTAAAAAACATCTTAAAACGACGTCGTTTTGGGATTTCGAGCCACTCGAGCCACGAAAAATTTGAGCTACGAATCGGAACCGTATTCTACAAATAGAACCAACACAGAACTGATCACAAAAATTACGAATATAAGTGAAATGACACAAGTGGTGTGATCCTTGATCATAATTAATAAAGATGGTACGCGAATATAAAAAATTTCAAGAGATTAAATGTAACGTGAATTAAATTCTCAAGAGAGTTTAATGTAAAATTATATATTTTTTTAAATTTATGTTCAGGAAGAGTCAGTGTAACTTTATCCCTTATTCATAATTGATTCATAAAATCTTTGATTTTTTTTTCCTTTAAATATAAATTTGCACTGAAACAATGCTTTCCAATGTAATGGATAAGGTTGTACCCAAGACAATGGTCGGGTCACTGAAGAAAGTTGAGGCTTTTCCCAGTATAAGCTTTTTTTTCATTGTATTTTCAAAACTAGGTCAACTTCTAACGGAATTTTAAAACTAAGCTAAAACGCCATTACTATTCGCGCTTTTACTGTTAGGAGGCTAAAAGTTGATGAATAGTGAAATCGCTATTTGAAATCGCGATTTTAATTAAGAAAACGCGGTTCCAAATTGCGCTTTTAACATAAAAAAAATTTCTGAAGAAAACGCTATTTAAAATAGCGCTTTTACTGTGCATATAATAAATATCTATATTTTTTTTTGTTTAAAACGCCATTTGAAATGGCGTTTCTACTGTTGAATCACCAACCAAAGCCAACCCACACACTGACACACACACACACCAATGGGCACACCCACAACACTCAAGCATTGAAATAATATAATTTTTATATATAATAATAATTTATAATAATTAATTATATAATTTTTATAATTTTCGTAAATATAAATCATTTTTAGGTTATGAATGGTTTGATTTATAATACGTATGTAAGGATAAAAATTTTTATAATCAAAAATAATTTATAAATTATCAAAAATAATTTATAATACGTATGTATTATTTAAATCTTTACATTTTTTATTTAAAATTTTTTACAGTAAACCCATCTTCACATTTTATAATACGTATGTATTATTCAAAAATAATTTATAAAAATTTATAATTAATACGTATGTAAATAATTTAATACGTATCTTCACATTTACATTTACAGTAAACCCATCTTCACATTTACATACGTATGGTTTAAGGATAAAAAATTTGATAAATGATAAATCAAACCATCCATAACCTAAAAATCGATTATAAAAATTGCAAAAATTGATTATAAATTTTTTGAATAATTATAATTTTTGAATAATTTTTGCAATTTTTATAATCGATTTTTACATACGTATGACAATAATTTTTATAAATTATTTAAATCATACGTATGTAAGGGTAAAAAATTTTAGGTTATGAATGGTTTGATTTATCATTTAAGTCATTTATAAAAAAATTTACCCTTAAACCATACGTATGTAAATGTGAAGATGGGTTTACTGTAAATGTAAATGTGAAGATACGTATTAAATTATTTACATACGTATTAATTATAAATTTTTATAAATTATTTTTGAATAATACATACGTATTATAAAATGTGAAGATCGGTTTACTGTAAAAAATTTTAAATAAAAAATGTAAAGATTTAAATAATACATACGTATTATAAATTATTTTTGATAATTTATAAATTATTTTTAATTATAAAAATTGAAAAAATTATTTTTGATTATAAAAATTTTTATCCTTACATACATACGTATTATAAATCAAACCATTCATAACCTAAAAATGATTTATATTTACGAAAATTATAAAAATTATATAATTAATTATTATAAATTATTATTATATATAAAAATTATATTATTTCAATGCTTGAGTGTTGTGGGTGTGGCTTGGTGTGTGTGTGTCAGTGTGTGGGTTGGCTTTGGTTGGTGATTCAACAGTAGAAACGCCATTTCAAATGGCGTTTTTAAAAAAAAAAATAAAAATTATTATATGCACAGTAAAAGCGCTATTTTAAATAGCGTTTTCTTCAGAAATTTTTTTTATGTTAAAAACGCGATTTGGAACAGCGTTTTCTTAATTAAAATCGCGATTTCAAATAGCGATTTCACTATTCATCAACTTTTGGCCTCCTAACAGTAAAAGCGCGAATAGTAATGACGTTTTAGCTTAGTTTTGGAATTCCGTCAGAAGTTGGCCTAGTTTTGAAAATACAATGGAAAAAAGGCTTATATTGGGAAAAGCCTCAAAGAAAGTTCTTCAAAATAAATACTCCATCTGTCATAAAATAAGTCTCTTTTTGAAAAATTTAATTTTTTTTAATAGTATAATTATTACATTTTAAAAATATTAATTTTTTAAAATTATCTTTTAATAGAATATTTTTTAGAGAATACCAATTGTCATAATTGTACTTTTTGTATTGTTAATAAATTTAAAAGAAGGACAAACTAATTTTTTATTATTATTTTAGTCTTTAATTTTTAAAAAACGACTAATATTTTAAGATAATTAAAAATGAAATAAGAAATAAGAAATTGATATTTTTAGACGAAAGAAATATGTAAGTTCACAAGCATAGATCATTTTAATTGGTTGGTTGTGAAGTGGATAGGGGGCAATAGGTGAGAAGTATGTCCATTTTCTTATTTATTTTTGAATAATTTGGAAATGCAAATGCAGACAAGTCGTCAAGTACTTACTTTGGCAGAGCCCCTACTGATGATGATGTAGAAGGAGGAGGGTGGGAGGGAGAAGTCTATCTGTCATGGTGGAGACCATAAAACAAGCTGCTTGTGATCGTCTTCTCTTACACGTATCCCTTCCTATCTGTGGACCATTTCTCTTTTTCTTTTTCTTTTTCTTTTTTAATCGGTGAAAATTAGTGATTAGTTATTAGACTAATATTTGGGAGAGTTGAACTTACACCCACTATTTGCAAACACTTAATCTTGCCTCTCATTTCACTCCTAAGAATGGAATCGAAGATCTCTCCTTAGGAGAGACCTAGTAGCCAAAAGATTAACCACACAAGTTACAACCCGTTTGGTTCTTGTGGACCATTTTCCCTTCACAGCTATTCTACTAATACAAAAAAATTTCACAGAATGGAACACAAATATGAGATAAAAAGTGAGTTTTATTTGTAGATTTCATACACGTGAGTCTCACCCATTTGTCTCACATCTGTGTCTTGTTTTGTAAATTTTTTTTAAGAGTAAGATTCTCTGCAATAATTCATCTCACAATAATCCTTACAATGCTAGTTTAAGGGGTTTTTAATAGCAGTTTAAAGATGATTTATAATTAAGTAGTCAAACTATTGTAAAGAATCTTATAATTGCATTGTAAGGATTATTGCAGAGAATCCTATTGCTATGCACTTTACAGGATTTCTCTTTCTTCTTATAGGTATTTCTAATTGTGTAGATTTTGAATTTGTTGAGAGGAAAAAATGTAAGAAAAGATAATGAAGCAAATACTTAATTCTCTTTTTTGGTTGAGTGAAGAAAATAAATATATATATTTAGTTACTTATTAAAAAATATAAGTAATTTACTCTTTTTTTCCTCATTAAATTCAAGATCTAACAGGACATGGAAAAGAACCAAGTGGGGACAAATATCAACCATATATTATCCAATGGGAAAGAAAAATATCCAATTTTCTTTTAAATTGGGAAGAAAATCAAAGTAACCAAATGCTTTCACAAATTAATAAGGAGGGGGAAGTGGGTTTGAAAGTGACATGCAGAGAAAACAACCCTCATTAATTCAGGAGGCAAGAAAGCAATTGCAAGAAGGATAAACTTGTTTCTAACAGAGAACCTACAGGAGCAGTTTGGAACTCTTAAACCTTAAATGATAGGCTGGCCCACTTAGGAAGAAACCTAAACACTTTTCTCCACCTCTCCCTTGCCCAAATTGATATTTAAGAAGGAAAAAAACAAAGGGAAAAAAAATAAAGAGAGGAGAGAATTGCAAATTAGTAAGCAAAGTGAAAGTGATTTACAAACAATTTTTGGGTGGTCAAGGTCTAGAACCTAGGTTTTGCTCCTTTTTAGTTTTAGATTCGAAACCTTATAAATAGATCGATATTATGATATAAGTAGTGACAGATGCAAGAATTACAGTAAGAAGAATCGAAATTGTTTGTATCTAAAATTGACAACCATCTTTTTATTATTTTATTTATAATGAAAGTATTGTACATAAGTCACGCTAAAGGGTTTGATTTCTCTAATGTTCATATCTTACAATTTTATATTCATTTAAAAAAAATCATTAAATCTATCATTAATTCAGGAGGCAAGAAAGCAATTGCAAGAAGGATAAACTTGTTTCTAACAGAGAACCTACAGGAGCAGTTTGGAACTCTTAAACCTTAAATGATAGGCTGGTCCACTTAGGAAGAAACCTAAACACTTTTCTCCACCTCTCCCTTGCCCAAATTGATATTTAAAAAGGACAAAAAAAAAAAAAAAGGGAAAAAAAATAAAGAGAGGAGAGAATTGCAAATTAGTAAGCAAAGTGAAAGTGATTTACAAACAATTTTTGGGTGGTCAAGGTCTAGAACCTGGGTTTTGCTCCTTTTGAGTTTTAGATT